CGTTGCACAGGCTGCGCCCCGCGGGCTCCAGGATCAGCGTCGCTGGCATCTCGATTTGGGTATAAAGCGGGTAGACCTGCTTAGGAGTCCAGGCCAAGGATGGAGTTTGCCCTGTGGTTAAGAAGGCGCGGGTCAACTCCTTGCTGTCACGCTCATTGGTTGAGAACCTCTGTGGGAGGCCCCCTAGAGTTTAGAGTGAAATTGAAGTAAGAGGTTGCTGAAGATGCACGATTAAGAGGGTCGAGTTCCTTGAATATAGATTTTTGCAGCGACAGCTCAGGTAACTATAATTCTGCTGATCTGAAAGAGACATGCTTCTAATTTTTCCCTCACCCCCATTTCTGCTTCATATCTCTCCACTAAACCTTTGAATTCTGAGATCCTGCCAGGCAGCCCTCTTCCCTATTCAGGCCCTCAGTTCTGCACCAAATCTTACTGAGATTTTCCACAAGCTGAACCTGAAGCTGCTTCTAAGAGCGGGTGAATGCTTATAGTCAGGCCATCCGGGGTCCAATTCTGACTCTGATCCTTAATGGCTTGAGGCATTTTAGGAGCAGGATGTAATTCTCTAAATCTAATTTCCTTATCTGAAAAGTGGTGTCGTCTATTAAATGAGGTAATGTAAAATATCTCATGGATATACAGGGATCTGTAAGCAGGGAAAAGAGAGTTGCTTGTTTTTCAACCTAGAAGTCTAATCAGTCACCTGACAGTGTCAGTTTGGGGTTATATTATTGTTTTGTCAGGAAAGAAGTGGCTCAAGCAAACTGGGTCATTTGAGAGGAGTTTCACAAAGGGACTATTTTCAAAGATGTGGCAACCTTACAAAAAGAAACAGGAAAAAAAAAGTTCAACAAGTTTTGGCGCAGAACTGAGAGCCTGAAGAGTCAAGGGAACAGTGCTGCCTGGCAGGATCCCAGAATTCAAAATAGGGAGACAGTCAATTTATGATGATGATAGTGCAGGCTGGGGAAATCACAAATACTATGATATTGCTGTACCTTTGCCCTACACTCTCTTTCCAATTTGCCTGAACCCAATCACATAGCTCAGGCATGCTAAGAAGTGTGGAGGAGAAACCTGGAAGGTGTGTGGAAAGGGGAAGTTCAATAAATCATTTTTTAAAAGTTATCGGAATCTGCTCCAGGTCTGAGAGTTCATTGACCTTCCCCCCAAAAGAATTAACTGCAGGTAGGTATTTGAAATACCTGTTCTTTAAAGTGTTACAGGCTGGGCCCCAGTCTAGGAACATTCAACATATAAAGCATTGACCTGGGCATCTGCAGGCTGAGCAGTACAGAAATTGAAATGTACCTTCAACTCAGAAGGGCAGCTGCTTCTTCTTCTCTGATGCCAGTGAACTGTGAGGAGTCATAGAAGTGCTCTCCGGCACAGGAGGGAACAGCAACTGAGGAGGTTTCCTGGCTTGGGCATTCCAAGCTCCCTTTTCTGGGAGTTCTGTCCTAAGGAGCTCCATGAAGAGGTAAGTGCTGTACGGGCTTACTGTCAGGGGTACCAGTAATTTAAAAAAGAGTCAGCTACTGTATAGAAAGTACTTCAACTCATGAGAGAGGGCAGCCTCACACAAAGTCCAGAGACTTGAAGTAGCTGGGCTTAATTCCCAGATATATAATATTAAACCAGAATTAAATCAAAACATTAATCCTTTTATGTCTAGTGTTATATTTTGGAACACCCATAGTGATGGGACAAAATTTAAAAATTTTTTCTCTTTAAGTTCTTGTTCCTTGAATTTTTCTAGATAATATATATGAATTTCAAGCAAAATTTTAAAAATCTGCAATTGTCAGCATAAATGGGTTAATTTCTGTGCCCTAAGTAGGGAGACGATGAATGTCATGGATAGACAAAATCCTTTGCCTCTCTAGGGCAGAATTTCTGTTAACCTCCAATAATGACACTCCAAGGGTCAGGGATTTAGCTTTGTGCTTCTGCTGCCTGCCTCACAAGCACAAGGACCCGAATTCGATCACTGGTACCAAAAAACAAAACAAAAAAAAGCCCAATAATGACACTCTTAAAGGGTTTCTTTTCTGAGAGTGTCTCTAAATGATTCCATGATTAATAGCCATTGGCTTTCAATTCTGAATTCAATATGAAAGGGCTAAGCTGCAGAAACAAAGGCATCTGGGTTGGCCCTGATCAATACACATGCCATCCATGTAATTGTTAGCGGCCGCTTAGTTTCATATGCTCAGGTCTGCTTGCTCATCACTGACCAAACCAGAGGAGACCATTTATTTTGGTGAAAAAAAAAAAAAAAGCCTTTATTCAAATTTAGCTGTGAGGATATGGAGGGGCCTGACTTGCCTCAAATCATCTTTCTGTGTACAGTGGTATAAGGATCTTTTATAGTAAGGGACAGAGAGGACAGAGGCTATGAGACAGTAGACACTTCCAAGCAATTCCAAGCTCTCTCCAGGCTCTTTTGTTCCCTGCCTTCCTTTTGGAAAGTAAACTGGACCCCAACCTCCCAGCATCTCCATGTTGTGACTCTTCATCTGAGCTGAGGAAAGTAGGGCGGTGGTTATACCCTAGGCCTGGGCAAGTTTAGAAAAGCTGCTTGTCTGTAAAGAAAAAAGTTTAACTTTTAAAAGTTCCATTTTGTCTTGGCTGTAGAATGAATAATTCCATTACATAAATTGGATTTAGGACACTTTTGTATAAATCCCACCTTGACCAATTATGACAAATGTTAGAAAATGACAGTGTCAATTCACTTTCGAATTCTCCCTACTAGTCCAGGGTAGCTGTTTGTCATCATTCTTTTTTTCTTCCTCCTTCCCCATCTTTAAATAAATTGTCTTCTTTTATTAAAAAAAAAAAAGAAAAAGAAAAAGGAAATGATAATGTCTTGAGGCAAGATTATAAAGATAATCACTGAGCTGGGGATTTGGCTGTGGTTCTGCTGTCTGCCTCACAAGTGCAAGGTCCCAAGTTCGATCCCCGGTACCAAAAAAAAAAGTTTAAAAAATTCTGGGTGTGGTGGCACACGCTTGTAATCCCAGCACTCGGGAGGCTGAGGCAGGAGAATTGCTATGAGCTTGAGACCAGCCTGGGCTACATAGTGAGTTGCAGGTCAGTCTCAACTACATTGTGAGACCCTGTCTCAAAAAACAAACAGGGCCGGGGGTTTAGCTCAGCAGTTCGGTGGCCTGCCTTGCAAGCGCAAGGACCCAAGTTCAATCCCCAGTACCAAAAAAAACCAAAAAAACAAAACCAAAAAACAAACAAACAAAAAAAGTCACTGGCTGATTATTGGGACTGAAAAAGACTGCACTAATAAGGGCAATAAAGGGTATTTAGTAAAAATCACTAGATGCCAATGTTTTGAACTAAGCTCCTGCACTGGTTAGCAGTAAACCAAACTGGAGTCACCCATGTCAAAATTCTGCTCACCAAACTGAATTTAAGTTGTTTCCTGAAGTTTGGAAAAATCTGGAGAGAGATAATAGCCAAGTTTCCTAAACAGGTCAGTTGCAGGTGGCATGATAATGAAGTTGCCTCTATTTAGTCTTTATATCCTGTAATAAGTCTCAGCACTATATTTATATATATATATATATATATATATATATATCCCTGTCTCTACCCTACTAGGAAAGTAATTTTGAAATGATCTTTTCACGTTTTATCTCTATTTATTTTAAACCTCCATCTGTAAAACCCAGCTGTGCTACTCAGCTAATGGCAACACTTATTCTAGCGAAGGGTTGCCTGGTTCTAGAATAAAAATAAAATCAATATTTTAAAACTAAATTGTTGTCATTTTGTAGCATGACAAAGGAAACCACCCCAGGTGATTTACAGAGATATCAACATTCCAAAGAGAAATTTTGATAAGCATGTATATCATATAATTAAAATAATGATATTCACCATAGTTCTGTGAACCCCAAGAGTAACTTTTGTGCACATAAAAATGTATCCAAACTTTCACTTGGTGCAGATGTTTTTGTGAAATTCAGTGAAATGAAAGACATTGTCTTTGTCAAATTCAGTGAAATGAAAGACATAGTTTGCAGAATAGCTACTGGGTTTACAAAGAGCTTTCTCATTATCCTGAAAAGCCTTCTGTGTGTTGCTCAGAACTATGTGAGTCAGATGTCTTTGTGACACTACCGCCTTCTCACTTGAAGTTGTAACTCTCTATATATCTACTTTACAATAAATTCTACCTATACATCTGCCTGGCTGCCTGTGTGTCTTGACTTTTCTCTCATCAAGGGCACAAAAGAACTGAAGACCAAGGAGCAAAGGGCTAGTTCCTTGCTGTACCAGGACCTGGATTTCCAGTGGTAAAAGCATCTGGACTCAGACTTACAATCACTTTAGAGAAATCTAATATTGCAATGGGATTTGGGGTCACTTGTCTTTGCCTGTGAGGGGCCTCATCCTTAGTCTTTACAGGAGTGTTCCCTATATTCAGGAAAAGTCAATGAAATGAAAGACATTGTTTGCAAAATAGACACTAGATATAAAAATTGCTTGGTCATTATCCTGGTGAGCCTCTTCTATGTTGCTTATTTTCCAGAACTTCCAGTTGTGTGAGTTACCCAGCTGAATCCTTGCCAAGACCTTTCCCCTACTTCCAGCTGACAGGCAGAAGCCTGAGAGATTAAATCCTTCAGGGATTCCATAAATTACTTCTGTACTGCAGTTTTATTAGATAAACAATAAGCATGACCACAGGACTTGGCCAAGGAGCTCTTTTAGATAGAATGAGACTCTGGCTTACAAAAATACATTGTTTGTCAACTTGATGGCTATTTGCTACCAAAACTATCCATTCCCTTTGTGCCTAACTATGCAGTATGACAGTTCTGTGTCCAACTGTATGGTATGATAAAAATATATGGTAAATGTTTAAATAAAATTATAGTAAAACAACATTGCCATTAATCCTCTTCAAAATACTCCCCCCTCACTTTGAACACACTTATCCAGTTGTTTTTGCCAATTGTTCTGGAAGTCCTCTTTTGTGAGTGTCTTTGCACAATATATTAAAAAATGATAATGCTGCTGTCAAATACTATCCAATGGAAAGACAGATTTCTAAAAATATTATGGGTGTGTCCTCATCCACCTTATTCTTTAGATCTGTGACTTGTGGCTCTTCCCCAAAGTTAAAATAACCATGAAAGGTAAATGTTTGAGTTGATTTATGACATCAAGACAGCTGCACTAGGGCCGGGGATTTAGCTCAGTGGTGCGGTGCACCTGCCTCACAAGCACAAGGTCCTGAGTTCTATCCCAGGTCTTGGAAAAAAAATAAAAAAGATAGCCATACCAGTATAACAAAAGACACTCATGAAAGACGAATCTAGAACTGCTTCAGAAACCTTTTGTGACATTTATAATCTATATGAATCTTTAATTTTGCTTATATTTTGCTTCCCATTCTAGACCAATCCAGTGGACAAAAGTTCATTCTACCATGCAAAATTCCTTTGCATTGCATACTAAAATATTCTGTTTCTCTTTAACTTTCTTCATCAAAACACAGGTCCTTACACTTATGATTTTTTTTTTTTACAACTCTGCTCCTTACTGGTTCCTTTCTGCTTTGTTTTTTTTCTTTCCTTAAATTACATTTTGAAAAAAAATCCTGAAGGAAAATCTCTAAATATAGAGAAAATTACTTTCTCTCAATAAAAGAAAACATTTTATGTTTTTCTTATAGTTTTTCTCATCAAAAACATAACTATTTTCTTATAGTTTTAAAAATAGTTCTTGTGAATATTTTTGAGATTTTTTTCTTTTCCCTTTTTAAGTTGATTTAGTTATTTTTATAGTGATGAGATAACAGAGTAGATGCTTTCCTCAGTTTCAGTAATATTATTTGTAACATTATGCACATACATTTCTCAGAAAACATCTCAAAAAGACAGAACAGAAAGTAGCTTCATTATCTCACTATTTTTTTTAGAAAAACATACTAAGTTCAGAAATAAAGGCCTTTTTTTTTTTACAGATCTTCATGGAAGGCAACTTAGATAAGAATTAATTATTAATGTTAGAGTCTTGTTCTTTTCTATTGGTGTGTGTTATTGACGTGGAACTATGAGATTCATTGTGGTATATCAGTACTTGCATACAGTATATTCTGGTTACTTCTATTCCAACAACTCTCTTTCCCTTTCCTTCCCCTCTCTGACTGGTCCTCCCCC